TCCGAGGCAGTTTCTCTATGTAAGTAGGTTGCCTAGTCTTCCTTCCAAGGAGTGGCTGATGGGTTTGAACCTCCAGCCTTCTGGCTAGCAGTCAAATGCCTTAGGCACTACACCACCAGAGCTCCTGGTTAGCCATTAGAGAGATGCAAACCAAAATAACAATAAGAATCATCCCAGCATTAATAGCAAAGACAAAAAAAAAAAAATAGATAATAACAAATGCTGACGAGCGGAGAGAGACTGGAGCCTCACTGCTGGTGAGACTGTAAAATGGTATAATGACTATGGAAAACAGTATGGCATTTCCTTAAAAAGTTGGAAATTGAAATACCATATGACCTAGCAATCCCACTACAAGGTCTGTATCCTACAGAAACAAAAGCTGTGACATGAATAGATACATGCACAACCATGCACATATATTTTAATGACTTTTCTCAGGAATTGCCAAGTCACTCTCAGATTTTGCAGAGCATGCAGCCAGACTTGGTAGCCTCTGCAGCGATCCCCACAGTCACTCAAAGTTACCAAAATCCAATCTTGCTGGCTTAACAATACCAACAGAGAAGTACACATAGGAGTGAGTCCAAAAGCTTGACAAGAAGATACCATCACAGCACTATTCACAGTCTTTTTAGATGGAAACAACCTAAATGCCCATCAACAGATGAATGGATAAAAAAACTATGATACATACACACAATACTACACAACATTAAAGAACAATGATGGATCCGCAAAACAACGTGGATGGTCAGCAGAAAATGATCAAGGCAAAGGAAGACTCTGGGAGCAGTGTAGGAGTTAAAGACAACAGAAGTAATACATACTGATACTTAAACAAACCTGCAATGGCAGTAATAATAATAATAATAATAATACAATAATAGTGGATATTGTTGTTGTTGTTGTTTTGCCGTCGAGTCGTCCCTGACTCATAGCAACCCCTCCTTGGGTTTCCAAGGCAGTATCACTACGGAAGTAGGATTGCCCAACCTTCCTTCCAAGGAGTGGCTGGGGGGTTTGAACCACCAGCCGTCTGGTTAGCAGGCAAGTGTCTTAGCCACTATGCTACCAGAGCTCCCAATAGTGGATATTAGTAATAAATAAAACAATAATAGTGGATATATAGATAGACATATTAGCTGAACAGCTATGGAAGGAGAATGGGACTATTCCAATGAATATATATATGCGTTTGACAGAGGATATTTCTACATATGTATTTACATATGCTGCAAATATATCCATGAGTATAGAACATATATAATTATGAAAATTCCTTAGCCATAACCAAGCACCTTGAGGGAATGAGTCACTGGGCCTGGGGATTCAGAACCATAGTCTTACGGGACATCAAGGTCAACATAGTCCACAAAGAAAATGTTCTACATCCTACTTTGGTGAGTATTGACTGGGATCTTAAAAACTGGTGAGTAACCATTTAAGGTCCAACTCTTGGTCTCTCCCCATCTGGAGCAAAGAGTGAAGAAAATCAAAGACACATGGAAACAATTAGTCCAAAAGACTCAGGGACCACACAAAGCTCAGCCACCATGACCCTGAAATCAGAAGAATTAGGTGAGGCCTGGAAGGAGATTAAGCAGTCTACTTCCATAGAGAAACCTCCTCAGAAGCCCGAGGAGGGATCACTGTGAGTGAAATTGACTCAAGGGCAGTGAGGTTTTTTTTGTTTTTGTTTTGGTTTTTGGCTATCATTACCGATTGCTCTAAAAAGGGATCATATTAGAAGGTCCTGGATAGAGTGGAGAAAAATGTGGAACAAAACTTAAAATCATAAAGATAAGGCTTACTGGTCAGATAGAGATTGGTGGAACCCCTTAGACTTTGGCTGTTAAGTCACCTGTATGACCTAGAACTGAACTCACTCCTGTGGCTCAATTTTCAGCCAAACAACAGACAGTTCTACAAGGTAAACAATAACACTAGGAAGGCACGCCCTCCTTAGAACAATCAACCATTCCAGATTAAAAGAGCAGCGTTTGCCCAAGGACAAAGTTTAGAAGCAGGAAAGGTTAGGAGAGGAGGAATAGAAAGAAACACAGGGAAGAACTGGGAAGAATAATGTTACAGCGTGGAAATTGCCATCAATGACATGAAACAAAATGTGTATGAATTGGCTTTTCTCCAAACCGGTCCCAGCCCCTCAGCAACAGGGCTGATGCTCCTCGCCTGCCGAGCAACAGGGGATTCCCCTTAGTCGCCGCTGCCAGCGACCCGCGGCCACAATGCAGTTTATGTTGCTTTTTAGTCGTCAGGGAAAGCTGCGACTGCAGAAATGGTCTGTCCCACTGTCAGACAAAGAGAAGAAAAAGATCACAAGGGAACTTGTTCAAACCGTGTTAGCACCTCAGCCTAAAATGTGCAGCTTTCTTGAGTGGCGAGATCTGAAGGTTGTTTACAAAAGATATGCTAGTCTGTATTTTTGCTGTGCTATTGCGGATCAGGACAATGAACTAATTACCCTGGATATAATTCATCGTTATGTGGAACTACTTGACAAGTACTTTGGCAGTGTGTGTGAACTTGACATCATCTTTAATTTTGAGAAGGCATATTTTATTTTGAATGAGTTTCTTTTGGGAGCGGAAGTTCAGGGAACATCCAAGTGTGAGTTTGAGAACTCTAATAGCCTCCAGGAAAATCTTTAACCAGAAACCTTTTAGTGTCAGCATTACAAACAGAACTTTTAGACTCCTTAGGGCCTTTATCCGCCCTCCGGTCTCAGCAGGTATCAAGGAACTTCCTCCGAACTCGGCACGCATCACAAAAGCCATCCGGATTCAGCACGTATCGGAGATTTACTTGGCTCCTGGAAGTCTCTCCCTAGGTAATATTTTCCCAAGTGAACTTTGGAGCCGGGGAGTTTCTTTACGTTCCCAACATCTTAGATCACTGCCCTAAATCCCTTAGCAACAACCAATCACCTGTACCCCCTCGCCCCGGTGCTGCCCCTCCCCATATTGTTCCATAAATTGGTGAAAGAAACAGGGTACGGGGTCTTTTGCTTAAGCCACTGACCTGGTAAGGGCAAAGACCCTAACTTAAGTTAGCTAATGAACTGTCCTATTGCATTTGCATTGTCGTGGGTTGGCATATTCTTCTCTTCCGAGCATCTCCTTTACAGCCTGGGTACTACACAAGAAAAATGTCCTCAAAGCAATTAAGCAGGCAGATCTGAGGCAGGAGGAAGCTGAAACCCCACGTAGTGTTCTTGAAGAAATTGGACTGACATAACACTCCTCCCTTGTTGATGACTCCTTGTGGTATTTCACACACTGGAGGGGGAGGGGTAGGAGTAGGGGGAGGGGTAGGAGGAAGGAGCACAAACTAGGGGGAGCTCTGGTAGCATAGTGCCTCAGGCACTTGACTGCTAACCAGAAGGCTGGCGGTTCAAACCCACCAGCTACTCCTCGGAAGGAAGGTTGGGCAATCTACTTCCCTAGTGACACTGCCTCAGAAACCCAAAGGGGGGTCGTTATGAGTCGGGTCGACTCCACAGCACATAACAACAACATCGACTCCACAGCACATAACAACAACATATATAGAACAAAGGAAAAGGGATTTTGGGGGCATGGAGTATAGAGTTTAAGTGACATTTAATTGAAGCAGTGTTTCCATTTGGCTTAATACCGGGTCTGGTCTGCAAATGGAACCAGGTACTGCTTCACTGGGAAAAGTGTTAGAGGTGCTAAAAAGAGTCTGCAAATCCCTTCTCTGAAGCTCTGCACGGGGTTGCAATCCGGGCTGTATCTCTGTGTCAAAGTGAGTTAGACTCCCCCAGGCAGGCATGGATGTTTCTGTCTTTCCTTTGTAATTTCCACTAGCAAGGTGTCTGGCAGTTTGTGCTCTTAGGTAACAAGATTTCCCAGTGAGCAAGAAAGTGGTAGTCACTCAGAGAAGGGGTCTTAATGACACTTTGCAGCTGCATCTGTCCTTGGGAAAACGTGGTCTCCGGAGAACTTTGCAGCTGGCTCCACCAGGTCTGCCATAGCTGACTGTTGAACACAGGGCATTTTCATTTTCCCAGTACCTAAGGCACTTGACTGCTAACCAGAAGGCTGGCGGTTCAAACCCACCAGCCACTCCTCGGAAGGAAGGTTGGGCAATCTACTTCCGTAGTGGTACTGCCTCGGAAACCCAAGGGGCGGGGGTCGCTATGAGTCGGTCCGACTTGACGGCACATAACAACAACAACAAACCAAACAAACCAAACTCACTGTCACGGAGTCCATTACGACTCAGATCGACCCCACTTTGGGTTTCCCAGGCGGTATCTCTGCGGAACTAGACTCCCCAACCTTCCTTCCGAGGAGTGGCTGGTGGGTTTGAACCGCCAAGCCTTCTGTTTAGCAGTCAAATGCCTTATTTTTACTTTCTCAGCTGCTATTTTCAGGTGCCTCCTATGCAACCCAGGAGATTAGGTCCGCCAGGAGATGGAGGGTGGCTTTCAAGCTTGTATTCTATTTCCCTTAACGTTTACCAGAACTCAGCCCCACTCTACCACCCAAGGCACTCCGGCTAGGGCCATGCCCTCCAGAAAGCCCCAGGAGGGCAGGATTTTCCTTCCCATTTGCCTTGGGGCTGCAGGACTTTAGGAATCCGGAATCCTTCCGCCCATGACTCTCTTCCGCTTTCTGCTGATCCAGCCCAGCGACTATAGCAAGGATCGTGAGGCTGGCACAGGACAGGGCAGTGTTTTGTTTGTTGCGCGTGGTCTCGCTATGAGTTGGAGAGATGACTGAAAGGCAGATAACAACAACAGCCCAGCGAGGGTTCGAATCGCAGGTTTTATGCTTGTTCCCGGGAGCCGGTTCCTCCAGGGGATTATCCCGACCCTCCTCCAGACTTTCCGCCCCATAGGGACCATCACTCCTCCATAGACCCCGCCCTCCCCTCCAAGCTCCCACCCACAGCCCATTGCGCAGGCGTTGGCCGTGGCACCGCCGTCAGGGCAGCCCTGGGTATCCCGGCCGCTGCAGCATCTTAAGCAGTGCCTCGCTGCTATATTCCTTCTTTGTCTGCACCTGGTTCTCCACAGCCAGCGCGATGGCGAAGCCGGTGATGGACAGCGAGAGGCGGAAGCAGATCAGTGTGCGTGGTCTGGCCGGGCTGGGAGACGTGGCTGAAGTGCGGAAGAGCTTCAACCGGCATCTGCACTTCACGCTGGTTAAGGACCGCAACGTGGCCACTCCCCGCGACTACTTCTTCGCGTTGGCTCACACAGTACGTGACCACTTGGTGGGCCGCTGGATCCGCACGCAGCAGCACTACTACGAGCGTGACCCCAAGGTGAGCCCGTCGCTAACCCTCGTCGCACCATGTGGTGGCCGGAGACCCCTCCTTGTGAGTGCTCCTGTGGCAGTGGCGTCCGGGGACCCTGGAAGAGTACAGCGGTGTCCCCCCACCCACCCATCCCAGCCCCCAGTAGCATGCACAGGCATTGTACGATGTAGGTCTAGTCTGAGGGCGCTTGGTCCGGCGTCTCAGCCCGACAGTGGTCCAGGCACTGGCCCCTGGCCAAGAGGACCGCTCTTTGGGGACGCGCCGCAGTCTGCCTCATCCGTCGCCACACAAGGACCCTCATAAAGTGGGACTCACAGGAGCCGGTAGTTTGCGCCAGCCCGGGCAGGGACCAGCCGAGTCCTTCCCCGCAAGCTGGGGATCCTTCTACAAGAAACCATGCCCTCTGGGGTCCCCAGTTGCCCTGGAACCTCTCTAGGTGCATCTGAGAGGGCTGCAGGGTCTCCTGCCCTTTCCTCCCTTTGTACCCGCCCCACCTCCGTCCCTCGCCACCCCCGCCGCCCAGCCCCAGCTTTTATTTATTTATTTATTTATTTCTGCAGCAGCAGAAAGGAGGCTGGAACCAGGCCTAGACAACTCTTACGTGTTGAAAGGGGGTGAGCTCAGTTATCTGTAGGGAATTGTAGGCTTTTTTTGGCCTAGGCTTGATTAGAAGATCGATTAGGATGCGTGATAAAGCCGAAACGGTCAGAAGCAGAGGTGGAGCCCTCGAAGAAAGCTTTGTTGTTTCAGTTTCCACACCTTCCTTCAAAGATTTCTGCCTGCTTAAAGTTCACAGAGATTATTTGAGTAAATATTACTAATTTTGAATTTTGCAGAAATTTTTGTTTGTAGTAGAAAAACACTAAATAGGTTAAAGAAAATTCACTGACACTCCCCATTTCTCTTAACCATGTTTAAATATAGGTGTATGCCCTTTCAGATCTTTTTTTCTTTCTAAATATGCAAAGGAGCCCTGGCGGTGCAATGGTTAAGTGCTTGGCAGAACCGAAAGGTCATTGGTTTTAATGCACCAGTGTCTCTGGGAGAAAAGACTTGGTGATCTGTTTCCTTAAAAGATTATAGCCTAAGAAACCCTGTGTGGCATTTCTTGTCTCTTTTAAGGTTGCTGTGAGCTTGAATCGACTGAACTGCACATTATAAACGTACACATATATTTTAAAAAATAAATAAATAATATTTTATTATACAAGCAATTTTGTGGTTTTCATGTTTCATTCATAGACATTTGTAACTTTTTCACTCAGAAACAGCTTTCCAAGCCAATAAATAGTATGCTTCTACAATATCAGTGGTAGGGTTCAGTCTCGTAGGCATGTCATAGTCTTCGGCAGCCCGCTGCTGCCACTTGTTTTTGCCCTTTACCATAGAAAATATTGCCCTCTTTGTTATACTAGGGTGAGGGGGCAGTGGCGGGGCAGTGGCAGAATTCTTGCATTCCATGTGGGAGACCCTTTTGAGTCATGGCCAGTATACCTCATGTGCAACCACTGCTGTTTGTCAGTGGAGGCTTGTTTGTTGCTCTGATGCTGAACAGGTTTCAGCAGAGAGGCCAAACTAAGACTAGGAAGAAAGGCCTGGTGATATACTTCCAAGAATTAACCAATGAAAACCTTATGGATCACCATCGTCCAATTCCATTGCTCAAGAAGTTGCCATGCACAACCCATTGTGCATAGAGTTGCCATGTGTCAGGACCGACTGCATGGCAGCCAAAACAAAAATGAGGTAAACTGAGAACAGTGGAAGAAAGGACAAGTACAGGCCTGAAGCCAGTTAGCAAATATCTAATTTGAAGTATGTAACTGTTGATGGTATTTTAGAGTGTTTTTGTAGGGTGTTTAGATGTATTTAATAATTGCCAAGAGTGAGATTGATTACATTTCCAAACATTTTTGGGGGTGGTCTCATTTTTAAGATAGCGATGGTGGGAAGGAAAGATTTAGAATACCCACTGGGCCTCTTCATATTTAGTATGCAAGGCAACATAGAAAGAAGTGGCACTAAATGACTAAAATAGGTTATTACAAAAAGGGCTTGAGAGTAGTTTGCCAGGGAAACCAGCCAAGAGGTAGTTGTATTCCTGCTAAGGAAGCAGCTTTGATTTGCAACATCATTTTTATTGTCAGTACAGCAGAGGACAAGGGTTCACCTATGACTGCATATTCAAGGAGTCCCGGGAGTTGGACTGGGACACTGTTAAAGATAACCGAAACATAAGGCAATTAAAACATAATTTTTTTCTGAGCAGTTACTCTGCATGCAGGGAGATAGTTTTGTTTCTAAAAACAAGTGGCTCAAAGTAGGCTAGTTAGAATTGTTAAAAATAAATCTTTGAGTTAGCTCAAAACAACAATGAATATATATATATTTTGTTTCATAATTTAATAAACAACTTACAGATTTGGGGAGTGAGAGTTTCCCTATACAATTTAGAAAATGGGAATGTTCCTGGGGACTTGAGATTTCACAGAATTTTAATTTTCTTAATACAAGTTTCCATGATACCTAGTACTTGTCATTAACATTAAAAAGTAACTCCTGAATGTTTGGTCCTTTACCCATTTGTGACTTCTTGAATTAAAATTGGGGAAGTTCACCGTCATTTTCATTGAATCAGGATGTAATGGGTGTTAAGGCTTTTCTAGCTGAAAAAGACAAATGACAATGCTGCAGAGCAGTTTCTGGTGAAAGAAATAAGTTAGTACTTTTGCAGTTTGGGTCAGGCTTTTTTACGGTTAATTTTGTTTTTTTGTGTAAGAAAAACCACTTAAAATCAAAGTAATATGTCAATTTCTTTTTCTTTCAGGGTATCTTTGGACTTATTGTTTATGTATAATTAGATTCTGAAAAGGCCAGGAATGGGTTCTGGTGTTATCAGAAATGACCTTTCATGAAGATATAATCCCTCTAGCAAAACAGCTTTGATCATGATTGAGAAGTCTGATTTTTTTCTCCTGTGGTGGCTACAGATAGAATCTGTTGTCTTTTAAAGAAGCCATACAGCTTAGAGTGGAAGGTTCCTTACCTATTCTTGGTGGTGCATTTGAGCTTACATTCTAAAGTACTTGGTTTGCATATGGGCTGTGTTCTATAGGGGGAGCCTTAAATCCATTTTGAGTCTTGACATAAATTCAAATGTGCTTCTGTTCTTTTTATTTTTTATTTTTTTATTGTGATTTGCGTGAAAGTGTATAGAGCAAATTCATTTTCCATACAGTAGTTCATACACATGTTTTGTTTTATGACATTGACTGCAATGCCCACAATGTAACAGCTCTCTTCCTACTTCCTCCCTGCAGCCACCTCTTCTGTGTCTTTTTTTTCCTATGCATTCCTGCTTCCTGAACTATCTCCCTGTGCAAATACTGTTCTTCTATTTTCCCATGATTGCTTGTTCTAATGAGTGTACTTGACATAAACGTTCACCTTATATGCCTGCCTATAGTTTGGGAGCTTTGGTAGCATAGTGGCTAAGGCACTTGCCTGCTAACCAGAAGCCTGGTGGTTCCAACCCACCAGCCATTCCTCAGAAGGAAGATGGGACAATCTACTTCCGTAGTGATACTGCCTCAGAAACCCAAGGAGGGGTTGCTATGAGTCAGGTCCGACTCCACAGCACATAACAACAACAACATAGTTTGGCTGGAAGCCACGGCAGTGAGTTCAATTGTAGGCCTGAAGAGTAACTAGAGGCCATAGTCTTGGGGGTTTCACCAGGCTCTGTCAGACCAGTAAGCCTGGTCTTTTTCATGACTTTGAGTTTTGTTCCACATTGTTCTTCCACTCTATCCAGGATCTCCTGCACTGATCCCTTTCAGAGTGGTTGACAGTGGTAGCCAAGTACTATCTAGTTCTGCTGGTCTCATGGTCATACAGGCTGTGGTTCATGTGGTCCACTGATTCCTTGGACTAATTATTTCCATGCATCTTTGGTTTTCTTCATTCTTCTTTGCTCCAGACAAAGAGAGACCAAGTGTTGCATCTAGACGGCCACTTGGGAGCTTTTCAGACCCCAGTTGCTACTCATCAAAGTAGGACATAGAGCAATGTTTTTGTGTAGTATATTATGCCAGTTGAGCTTGATGTCCCCCACAACCATAGTCCTGAGCCCACAGGTCCGACAATTTGCTCCATCAGGGTTGTTGATTGTGTCTAAGTAGTTATCATAACTTTGCCCCCTATTATTTCTATGTATATGAATATTCTTACAGCACATACAAATAGGCATGTAGACGTATCCTCTGCCGGCCTTCATATGGTCATGGGTGTATTCCTCTGTTTTGGTTACTTTGTGCTGCTCTAGCAGAAAATGCCACAAATGAGATGGCTTTAAAAAACAGGAGTTTATTCTCTTAAGGTTTTGGAGGCTAGAAGTCTGAGTTCAAAGTGCCAGGCTCTAAGGGCTGGGTAAAAGCCCCTCGACCTTGGGCTTCAGCTCTGCCTCTTGCCTCTGGCCTCCTAGAACTAGAAGTGTCTCTTCACTCAGGTAGCTGCTGGCTGCTGAGGCTAACAAGCCCAAGTTGACACATAAAATGACAATCCCAGTATTACCACATGACATGGCAGGTCACTAGTTCAAGTCCAGAGACAGTCCCAAGATTGGCAGGAAACATGGCAGGCTGCTAAATGAAGGCTTGGCTACATGCAGGATTCAAGCATGCCAAAAGTTATACACCATTCCTAAATCTTCTCTTTATATACTGAGAGCAGACCACATCCCTAAGGCATCTACTTAGCTGCTTTCAGTAGATTTCACAATGGAATTGATTACCAGTCTCATCATGAGGAATACTACATCTAGCTGCCAAGCCACTCAAAACCAGGCCCAGCCAAGGTGACACGTAACCTTAACTACTATAATTTCCTTTTGCCTAGAAATACCTGGTCATTCAGCCTCTTTATCCATTTGTTTACCCAGAGATTCATGTTTGTTCCATCACTGACAATGCAGAATTTCATATGTAAAAGGGTTTATTTTTGTTGTC